GAGTTCGGCTTTCGAACGCAGTCTTTCGATGCAATAACCGACGATGGTTACATTTCAAGGCTGACCCGGGTGCAACGCACATCCGGAGTCGACACCCAAAAGGAAAAATTTCCAATTTTGATTTTACATGGACTCGTGGGCAGTTCCTTGTTATGGACAGGCCTTGGGAATCAACCCCCCATTTCCGCTTACGGTTTCGTGCATTTTGAGCACTTCATCGTAAATTTTCGAAATGATAACCGAAAGATCGTTTTTTTTTTCTTTACAGCGTTCACGTTGGCTCAAGAAGGATATGATGTTTGGCTGGGGAACTTTCGGGGTTCACCAGAAGCCTCTCGGCACAAATTTTTAAACCCCAGCGAAAAGTCTTTTTGGGATTTCACGTGGGTAACCAACGGACGTTAACACACTAAATTTTCAAGAAGAAAAACACCCTTCGGATAATTGAGAGACACTCGTTATAAAATAACATAATTAAATTGGATGAAAAAGGCTGCATTATACATCCATTACTTTTTCCTAATGCTTTCCCCGACATTTCACGTACTACAATTCCTTGGGTGAACTAAGTCGCTTGTAGAATGTACGCAAAATTTCTCACACATAGTACTATTTCTCTCAACAATCGACGACATTTAAATGCTCAATCGGCAATGCAAGTTTCATGTGAAGTCCAGTAAAACGTGTTTGTAACATTCCAAGCAATTATAGCACTAATCGTAAATATAAAATAACTTTGCATGTCAATTTACGTTATCAGCGTTTGCATAAAGGTAAATATGAGTCAACAGGTGCTATAAAGTACGTACTAGTTACACACTTTGTAAACAAACAAAATATTGTCATCGAACGATTAATTTTAGATTTACATTACAGTATTTTATTTTGGCACATTTTGGTTTAATATGCTGAAGTGTGGAACTTTTTGCAGTTTTGTACCAATCGTTCAATGAAATCAGACAAGTCCAAGATCAGGTATATATAGTGATTTGAGATTTTTTAATGAAACCATCTAAGTTATTGAGATGTTTTTGATGCGGAGTACACTAGAATAAAACCACACAAATACATGTGAATGCAGAAATAAAATGTTCAAAATTATCCTGAGCATAATCTCAGTAAAAACCTAATGATATCCCTATAAAAATGCCTTAGTTCATCTGATTTTGACTATTTTTAATTCAGGGCAGGAAATTTTTTGTGGCATTGAGTGAGTTGGCACTGCTGAATCCTGATTTCCTTAATTAGAAACACAATGGAGGGATATTTTTCACAAGAAAATTTGTGGCACTCATTTGGGGGGCAATATATCAACGGTTACCTGATCATCGGACGAATTACTGAAATACATTTTTGTCTGAAATTGATTTAAAAAATATTTTTAAATAAAATCCTTCGTTTAGGCCGGATGAACACGGAAGACTCGATCTGCCAGCATTGATCAACCTTGTTTTGAGGGCCTCCGGAAAAGATAAACTAGTGTATTCTGGCTTCTCCATGGGCACCCACACGTTTTTCATCTACTGTCACTATCATCCGGATGCGTGTGTTCGGAATGTTCAAGCAGCCATTATGCTGGGCCCCGTGTTAGACATGACCTTTTTGGCGGATTCAAACTTTCTGGCCGGTGCGGGGCTTTTGCTGCCTTCCGGACCATACAGGGTATGTACAGTATTCAC